TGTAGAACAACTGTCTTCATCAGCTTGGTTGGTGTAGAACAACTGTCTTCATTGGCTTGGTTGGTGTAGAACAACTGTCTTCATCAGCTTGGTTGGTGTAGAACAGCTGCCTTCATCAGCTTGGTTGGTGTAGAACAGTTGTCTTCATTGGCTTGGTTGGTGTAGAACAACTGTCTTCATTGGCTTGGTTGGTGTAGAACAACTGTCTTCATTGGCTTGGTTGGTGTAGAACAACTGTCTTCATTGGCTTGGTTGGTGTAGAACAACTGTCTTCATCAGCTTGGTTGGTGTAGAACAGTTGTCTTCATTGGCTTGGTTGGTGTAGAACAACTGTCTTCATTGGCTTGGTTGGTGTAGAACAACTGTCTTCATAAGCTTGGTGTAGAAGAATAGGGTGTTGAATAACATTACCTTTCACTTTCATTCATTCTGGCATGAAAAGTTACAATAACTGGAAAATATATGGTGGAAGGGTAAAAAAAAAGCTCTTCGTCATTAGCCCAGTAGGAGCAAAACAGTAAGAAGGTAAAACCCAAAAAGTTAATTTTGTCTTGTTCCTAATATTATTGCTATGCCAACCTATATTACAGTCATTGAAGTATCTTTGATTTAATACCACCCAACCAGGGGATCAATATAAAAATCTTTCTTTCGTTAATCATTTCAGTCAGCACATTAGTTACACATGTTAAACAATTTTCAACTTGTAAATGAAAACAACGATTATGTTAATAAATACTTCCTTTAATATTTATTTACTCTCATATTGATGATACCAATTCTCAAGTAAATCTTGTTATAAAATAACTGGCCTCTTATTAAAGTTAAAATCAGAAGGTTTTTTCTTGAATGAGAAGATGAATTGTGATTAATGGTTATGACTGAAAGAGATGATTTAATCAAGTGTTGTTTCACTTATATAATTATACAGCTTGAAGCTACAACTAACCAAATCTAAAAAAGGCCATAAAACTCTTTCATATTTTAGAAGTCACAAAAAAGTCCTCAGAACTTTTCTGATCTTTACAAAAAGCTTACTAACAAATTTAATGGTGTTTGCATTCATATGTATGTTAATTACATGAAAGATATCATCAAACGCTGGCAGATTATTTCTGCTTTCAGTTTGGTTTGTGGTTTTCAAAGACTAGATTGTAACCCGATAGTATATAGATTTATAGACGGAGCGATAGTAGGTCAAACAGATACAGCATGACATCAGAATGTCTAAATATAGTTGAAACCTGTCCTTGTTTCACTAATTTAATTATAGGTTAGGATTGGTAATAATATTAGTATAGAGATAGATTATCTATAACAACCAGGGGTATTAACTTCCATCACAGAATCATTGACATGGATGGGATGAACATCTACAATAATCAATAGTTTTACACCAATATTCATTCACTCCAAAAGAGAGACAAAAAAATCAAATGCAGGAATACTTTTTGAATGGTGTGACTTTTTTTTTAAAAGCATGTTTAGAAATTGCAAAAAGAATACATAATATGTTCAATAGTTAAGATCTTCATGTAGATTGTTAAAGAGCCAGTCTCTAATATGTATCACCAAGTAGGACTTGATTTGAGTATATTTACATATGGTATGGTATGGTTCATTTGGTGCTTTTGCCGTTCTGAGACTGGATAGTGTTTACACTATGAAAATTTAACCGTACCGTGTTTGGCACCGTGTCGAGACTACCTCACTTCAGTCAGCCAAATTGGCATGGTACTCAGGCACGGCACGCATATATTTGACCTGATTACACTACAAAAAATTTAAACGTACCTTGCCTGGTACTGTGCCTGGCATGCTTAAAATTTGTAATGTAAATGAGGTTATATGTTTCAAGGTTCATAAAAACATTTTAGTAGTGTTTAACTTGAGCAGACACCACAGTGCTGCTTGATACTTAGGTTGCATATGAAATGATATAAAAGTACATTTATTTTCTTGTTGGTAGTGATAAAGCCTCTTTAAACAGTTACATTGTTGGAAGTGATAAAGCCTATTTTAATAGTTACATTAGTTGATTCAGAACCTACATTTACAGTTGTTTAGTTCATTGCACATTATTCATTTATTGAAACATATTGCATATTTTATTATTCTCTCAAAGATCTTTTATCTAAAAGTCTTTTTTAACATTTGAACAATGAAAATCAATGAGGAAATTGTTCGTGTGTCTAGGTTATAATAAAACAAAGAGAAGATGGGTGAAATCACATGATGTATATTGGTAATGACGTATATAGAGCCTAGTCCATGTATATTGATTAGTGGATGTCGGTACAACATCTGATAGATTCAGTGTATTATATTGAACAGATCATGTCGTGTTCTTAGAGAGTTAGTTTCGAACACACATTATTTTACTTTTTATATTGTGTGATATATATATATATGGTATGTATATTTTAATTCTATAAAATATAATTACTGGTCAACACTTGTCTTTAGTGTTTGTTATAAAGATTGTATAAAGATGTTCATGTAAAAATAAAGACTTTGAGCTTAAGTAAAGTTTTATTGACCACAAATAAGATGAAATTTATAAGAAGATTGAGCAGCAAGTCTTTATAAACTATACCAGTTCTATTGATGAATAGAGAAAATATTGTCCATCACTGTTTATATTATACAACCATTTGTTGAAATTGAGTCACCTGCATGTAGGAATCACATTGTGTTGAAAGCATCCAAGGGACCTGCATGCAGAAATCAGATTATAACAGGTTTTATAAAAATAAGATATTTTGGTGGTAAGTTGGCAGATTATATTACTAGTACAGTGGTGTATTTAGATCAGTTTATATACGTCATCATTTAAATAAAGTCATTGTTGTAATACCAATCAGCCCTGTAGACTGTCCATATCTAGACAGTGTCCGTGTTCAACCATTTTTGATCATTACTTTCAGAGTTATTGCCCTTGATCACTTTGAAAAATCTTGTGGACATTCTAGTGGCTTAAGTTATTATATGATTTACTTCAAATTGATCGCCTATGGCTATATACTGTTAATGAGTGGGAGAATTCTTTTGAATTTCAATGTTTTTTGATGATTACCGTCTTGACTCATTGTTCATACTCAATAGCAAACTCTTGTGGTAGTTCTAGCAACCCAAAATATCATCTGATTTAATACAAATTTATATGAATTGTTTGTGTTGGTGAGACAATTTTCGTAGTATTTTGTCCTTTTACCAGACACAACACTCAATAATGGACAAAACTGTTTTGGGAATATTTAAAGGACAACATTGGTGTCAGCCATTATCAAATATGTGATAGAAATGGTTAAACTTTCCAAATATAATTCTAACACAGAGATCATATTGCTATGATAGATGCATAATGAAGATATCCGACAATTCATAAAAAAAAGTGACTGTTCTTATAGGAGAAAACGAAAAAAAGGAAAAAGTTTGTGCATTACCATGAATAAATGCAAGAAAATGTACAGGCATTTTCTATTTTTCTCGCTTTCTTTTATCTTGTGACATACAACTCTTTTATCTTGTGACATACAACTCTTTTATGAATGTCAGATATCCAGTTGTCTTACATAACAACTTTTCGTCTTCGAAGGAATTATCATTGGGCAGAAATTCAACTATGTATCTCTTATCACTGGTTACTTCATTCCCCGACTTCATTAGCCAAGTTGGAGCAGAACAGTAGGACGTTAAACCCTGTTTCATATTTCATTTCGTTACTTCAGAAGGATAACCCTTGTTTTTCATTGTTTGCACCACTTCTGTTTCTTCAAATCTTCGTTGTGCGAATATTCTTTTAAAGATACATTCCTAACCTTAGTAAACCTTATGTACATAATTTTAATTCATAATAGAAAAGGTAGTTAACCTTACTTCATTTTTATTTTAATATTTTAATTTTAATTTTTTTTTTTTTTTTTTTTTTTATCTCTTTATTTGATCTCATTGTTGTTCTTATATTGTTTTGTTATGTTTCAAGGGCAGAATTGTAAAAAGGCCTGGCCTAATTTCTTACCCTAATAAAGATATTATTATTATTATTATCATAGCAATGACCAATCTGTTTCACAGAGAATTACGAATCTAGAGTAATATCTCTGTCAAAGATGACTGCCTTAACACGTGCTGTCACAGCACGCAGCATCAATCATTGTTTACATAAGACATTACTGCTTCGGGCGGAATGCTGCCTTTTAGTCATTTTAATACCTATTTACACTAAATAGGAAATAATTTTTACCTACAAATACGTCAAACGCCATTATTTATTTTTCTAATACATAAAAAAAATGTTTTAGAATTTAATTTGTCGCAGGAAAAAAGTTAATATTTCTGGCTCATTAAGTCGCATCGATGTCATCCTTATCAGTGATTGTAGCGGCCTAGCGAAAAATTCACTGCTGATCAGCGTGAGCAATGACCTCTGTGTAGAATTATATTTGGAATAATGTTTAACCATATATGGTAGTATTTAACCGATATGCCTGTTTTGGGAGTATTTAACCAATATGATTGTTTTAGGAGTATTTGCAGGGTCTGTGTCTACATACCATCCTCTATTATCAATTTATTAATAAGTAATATCAACCCCTCCTCCATTTAATAAATTCCTGAATATGTGATTGTGCAATTAATTGTTTTTCGTCTCAGATGAACTATTTTATTGTCAATAAGAAACTTTGTTAGAAAGTATTAATTGTCAGAGAATCCATACATCTAACTCACTGATCCACCATGGCTCCCTGTTAGCCTGTGAATCCTGTGATAAATGGTTAAATGTTGTGATATTGAAGTCACGTTTTTATGTGATTCAATCAGATTAACTGACTCGCGATGAAGACTCGTGCAGGATATCATGTTTGCTTCGAAGAACTTTATTTGGAGAAAGTATGTCTTAGTGGATGGTTGTGATAATTATTCACTGATTCTAACTTTATTTTTTAAACAAGACTGAACAAAAATTGTATAATTTTGTTAAATGTGTTTTGTTACAGAGTGCCTTTAATAATGCTTGTCTGTGTTTAACAAGTGTTGATAACAGAATGCAAAATACAGAACATTCATCTAAAGAATCATGCACACATCGTAGAATGGAACAAAGAGAAATCATTCAAGAAATTTTAGAAACAGAATTAAACTATGGAAGGGATTTAAATATTCTTAAAGAGGTACTTCTAGTTTCATATATTATTTCAGAATTTTATTTTTAAAGATGAAATGGTTGAAAATGGTAAAAAAATAAAATAAAATGAAGCATAAGATGTAATTAAATGTGTGACATGTATTAATTTTGTAATATTTGTAGGAAGGTGAGGTGACAATAATTCTACCTGTAATATTTTTATTTGCAGGAGTTCTATAATCCCATGAAGTTAGCAGGATTATTAAATTCTGAACAGCTAGAACAGGTTTTTGGGAACCTTGATGATTTGATTTTAAACAATTCTCAGTTCTGTAAAAAACTACAAACCAGCATTCAATCTGCTATTAACAATGGCGATCAGGTAAAAAATATTCTTAATTATTCACTGATGTGATAATAAATAAAACTGTCTGCCTTCTGACAATCAACATAATATTTGGTGATTGATTTGGCAAAATTTAAGATTTTATTTTTTATTCCAACACAGAAATATTCATGTACACAACACTGACAAAGTGGTATCGAGACACCATACTGTATCTTCAAAAAAAATGAAAAATAAATTTAATTTGCAAAGTTTGCTTAAATTATAAAAACTGATGATTATTAAAATAGATTGATGGCCATGATTAGGAAGATGAAAACCTGAATAAAAGCCAGTGTTAACTGATCTTCAACATAGCTCAAATTATCTGACATTCAATTTGAAAGAAGTCAAATGTATTGTAACATGAATGTACCCTAACTTACCCTAACCCTAACCTACAAGTACAATCTCGCCAACAATCACGTGCCCTACCTAACCTTATTTACATCTCAGGAACCTTTACAAAAATTTAGCTGGCCTTAACAAATAAATTAAGCCGTGGTTTGACCTTGATGGTGGTATTTTTATATTGATTATTGAACTTATATAAAGATGTTATCCTTAGCAAGTTATAAATATATGGCTTCATTAACACTACAGATCTTTGTAAATACAACTTTCCTTTTTTAGTCTTGGCTGCAACCAAAATAGACTTGTTTTTACTTCATTAATTTGTGTTCTTTAAAAACATAGTTATTTCCATAAAGTTTGGACTATGTTATTGTTTGTAGTCTTTTAATAAAGAGGACACTGCTTTAATTTGAATAAAATACTCAAACAATATAAGAAAATGAAGATTATTAACATCTAGTTTATTCTTTGTCTGGTCATTGATGTCATATCTCTACATCTATATAACATACCCAATGTACTATTACCAAAACTTTTTGTTAAAAGTCTGGATGATAAAGTAACAGACAAATTGTTTATTTACCCACATTCCTGAATACCCAATAAAATTTAAAAAAACTACTGGGGTGTAGGGGGATTGATATTATTGATATTAACATCCTCCTGATTTCCTGTTAGGTTATACTTCAGTTACTGGAAAATAATTTATATTTTATGTATAATAATAATAATACGACTATTTGATGTCACTATAAACTAAAATGTGATTTTGTGAGCGAACGAAACATTAAAACTGAAATTACAATTTTTATTATTGTTTCCCAAGGCTTAAGACTGAACACTTGATATAATAACATATTGAACCTGCATATTGATTTTACGATCTATATTAAGATACTAGAAGATGATATATCTGAATCAGCCATTACATCATATAGTAAAGATCAGCACACTTACGATCAATACTACCTTAATTTCAATTGGGACAATCAGAGTCATAAAAACTTGATTTTATTTACGTTGTTGGGCAATAATAAACCAATATTTGCTGCAAATAGATAATTATATTAAATGAAATTGTGTAAATGATCGGGATTATATTGATCCAGTAAAATGTTTTTGACTGTTACAAACTCTTGTGTATTCTAGATCTCACTGTGTCTGACTCATTGACACTCGTCTATCAAAAATCATCTATAAAAACTCAACAATCATTTCCAATTGGCATGAATATTGTTGTAAAATTGCCGGAATGCCCTCGAGAAAATTTAGCTATCATTGATGTGAAAAACAACCATTGTGTTTGGGAATCAAGCCAGACTTTCAAATTATCTCTCCTATTTCTGTCTGTTTTTGTAATCCTTATTTCTCTTTCATGGAAATAGTGAATTGATAAAATTTGGTAAACAGATTATCAGTAATGTCTGAATTATGAAATGATATCAGTGGTATCATTAATTGGCTTATTTTATTAATAATTAACTCAGAAAATACACAAATAACAGAAGCCAGATCTATTCCTATTTATATACTTAATTAAACACAAAAACATTTTATCATTTCAACTGATGTTTTGAGTACAGAACAAAACAATTATGTTATCCTGCAAAATGAGCAATTACTAGGCATATATTAGCTAGATTCAGATATTATTACTAGGCATATATTAGCTAGATTCAGATATTATTACTAGGCATATATCAGCTAGATTTAGCTATTATTACTAGGCACAGATCAGCTACATTCAGCTATTATTACTAGGCACAGATCAGCTACATTCAGCTATTATTATTACTAGCCATAGGCCCAAGTTCACAAAGCATTCTCAGACTTCAGTTAGGAATTTACTCAAAATTGTTCACCTTATTTAAACTAAAGTATAGCCCTTTATAAAATTTTTGTTGTTTTAATGTATTAAATACATCAATAAGAAACTGGGTGTAATGTTTTGTGTTTCTGGATCAATAAAATTTCTCAAAAACAGTGATTGAAAGTTGAATAAATTCTTAAGTCTAAGAATGGTTTGTAAACTTGGGACCCGATCAGCTATTATTTTAAGAGTATCAAATTGAAGCAAACATTTTCCAACCCTTTTCAACATTACTGGACATTAATATTAATAATTATTATGTTAACCTGTGGATTAATTTGTATTTTAACAGAATGCCGGAAGTAATACGTCCAATGTTCATATAGGCATCCTCTTCCTTGAATCTTCATCCATGTTTTCTGCTTTTGAAAATTATTGTATAAATCAGGTAAGTGATATTTAGTAAATACACCAAACATAATTCTCACATTCTCTAATGGCTAATTAATCTCTAGTTATTCCTCAAATATTTCATGTCAAATGAATTTAGAATTTTTCTTTCCTTTATTTTTCAGCCTTTAGCTTCTGTAGTTTTAGAGCAGGTGGCCAAGGAAAAGGAACTGTTACGAATTTTTCTACAAGTGTCTCAAAACGAAAACTCAGCCCTCCGAAGGATGCATCTGAAGTCTTTCCTCATGGTTCCTGTCCAACGAATTGTTAAGTAAGTTGATGATAATTTGAGTCAATTGATTATCAAGATTTAAAATGTAAATTGATAGGAGCACTTGATTAGAAAGCAAATGGATTTTTGATTTAAGAATTGAACATCTATTTCATTAAGAATTGAACATCTATTTGATTAAGATTTTAAATGAATTTGTTGAATATATAATGAATGTAAAAATGTTTTATTTCTTCAGATATCCATTATTATTAAATCGTCTGTATAAAGTAACATGCAGTAATCACACTGATAAAATAAATATACAAGCTGCCTTGACACAAATAGAACATATTTTATCAAATATCAACTCAGTAAGTTTATTTCATTATTCACTTTTATTGTTAAGTTTCATGATGCGTACAGAACGAAATATTGGATGATATACATACAGAGTTTATCTGTTACAGCCAAATATTAGTGACATGATTTTCAAGTAGAGATATGAAATATTATTATCGTCATATAAAATTATATGGTAAGAAGGGAAATAACTCTTTTTCCTTTGTACTTTTTGTAGAAAACAAATTATGCAACATTACGCCCTAAAAGAAAGAGAATGTCTGAAAGTAACCAAAGACAAAGTTTTAGTATAACTGATAAAAATGAAGTTCATAAGGTTTGTTTATATTTTAACCTGCTTATACCAGTGGCTGGATAACATTCAACTGGCATTTTACCTTTTATATCTTTATAACAATAATTCCATCTGTTCTATGAATTATAAAGTATAATTGTATATTATATACAATAATTCCATCTGTTCTATGAATTATAAACAATAATTGTATATTATATACAATAATTCCATCTGTTCTATGAATTTTAAAGTATAATGGTGTATTTTTTATAGATTGCCTTAGATATGTTGGGATGGAATAAGAAAGAAGTCTCAGATTTAGTTTGTAGTAAATTATGGTATGGATTACCAAACGATCACAGTTGGGCACCCAAAAAATGTAAAAACGTCAAGTTTATACAGATTCATGCTGTGTTGTTGGTTCTTGACAAGGTGAATATATAGTTTTATACTTACAGATACTCGGCTTAGTTTCCATACTTATACTCAGGGTACCTTTCACAATCAATCTTAAAGCCATAGTGCTCCCGAAGGCCAAGCAACATTTTATTGATTTAAATTGAACAAAACCAAGTATATGATTGAATGATTTTAATGGGTTAATCTGGAATTATTTATAAATCATATTGAATGAACTGGAGATTATCGTAGATTATTTTTATGTTATAGAGTAATCAAGGTCGATTAGAAGAACGACGAGGTAGTACAGGTATGGTGTTTCCTAATGAAACAACGTCTGTAGAACAAGCAGTTGTTGTTTTAGTTCGAGAAAAAAATGGAAAATATCAACCAGTGAGGGTAAGTTGATGTTGAATAGGTAATAAAACCATTCCATTTCAGACAATGTCTTATTTATTTGAAGGAATTTTATTGACTGGAGCCACAGTGGTGCAAAATGGGACGTCCTCACAAGGATAGCCGTCTAGTCATTCGGATGAGACAAAAAAAACCGAGGTCCCGTGTTCACATTGCCGTGCACATAAAAGATTTGTGGGCAGTTGAAATTCAATAAAAGAGTAGGCTGTAGCGCCGCTGTCTGGGCAAACTTCCCCTCATAGCACACTGTGTGGCATATGCTTGTTTTCATTAGCCCAGTTGAAGCAGAAAAGTAAGACGTTAAACGCCATTTTATTTCATTTGAAATTTGCCGATGACACTAAGAGGTGAACGATTTGTTGCCTACATCATGAAGATTAAGATTTAATATTTAATGTATTATTTTTGTAGGATCCACTAGCATTAGATAAATGTGTTGTCACAGTTGATCCCGAATGTGAAGAAGTATTTGAAATCCAGGAATGGGGCAAAGAATCTTATCTTCTTAAGGTAACTATTTTATATTTCTTTATATATTTTGTGTTTCTCAAAGAGTAGATTTCAAATACACTTGCTTATCTTCTTCTTCTTGGTTTTGGGCGACCCCCTTCAAAAAAAAGAAGCACAGGTTAGAGGGTTTTAATGTAGGTAATGCCTGCTCCTCAATCCCTATTCAGATACAGATCGGAAGGAAACAACCTTGTGTACTTGACATGCTTGTTGTTTGGACAATTGTGCATCGATTGGCAAACTTTTCGATGGCTATGATAACAAGATGTAGTTTCTGGGTCATATAGTGTGTCTGACGGGGTCACACACCAGAATATATTGACGAGGTCACACACACCAGAATGAACATCAAGATTTTAGGATGACATACTCAATAACAAAAATATTGTTTATTTTGACTATTTTCATTATTATTTTTGTATTTTAATTTTTTCAGTGTGAAGATGCTAGAGATACAAAAGTTTGGGTGAATCATTTAAAACAACAGACGCGGGATTTAAGCCAATGGAGAAAACGAAGGAATGCTTTACCTAATATAATGTTAAAACAAATGTCGTAACATGATTATGACTGTGTCTATGCCGGTGGATAGTGTAAATGTTTTAGAAGGTGCTGTCATGTGATATGAAGTTGATAGAGACATTAAATAAACAATATGTCACAACAACATTATACATTATTCCATTTGTCATTTAGTCCCTTGGTGTTATCAACTTGTACATGATCTAGTCTTTATATATAACACCCAGTCTTTCAAATATTTCATGTCAGTTGAGCTTGGATTTCCTACGTCCAGAATGTAGATAATTTATTTATTTATTTGTGTATTATGAGAACAGATATCATGTGACCAAAGCTAAACAGTACTCCATTAATGTCCCATCATTTACATATCTCAATTTGTCCGAGCAAAACATATCAAAATTATTTTTATAAAATATTTTATATTTTAAATGTAAACTATGAATATCTTTGTATATATGATTACTAGGTAGATTATAATAAGATGTTAGTTATTTTACTAATTCACCATCAAACTCTATTCAAATGTTTCTTATTTTTTTAATTATGAAATTTTTAAAAATGGCATTAGAAAACAGTAGTGAAATAGTTAAGTTTAATTCCAATAAATAATATAAACACCTCTAGGGAAGCATTCCGGAAACATTTTAAGCTTTATGAATTTCTTAAATTATACTTTTAATAAGTGGATGCATATTGTCGTCGCCTCTGTCCGTCCATCCACCATTTGTTTGTGGACACTCTACAGGTCATAATTCTCATCTGATTTTGACAAAACTTTATCTCGGTTCCTTTCGATATTGCCATGTATCGGATCGAAACTTCATGTATTATGGTCCCGGATTGTATGAAAAATCATGTTTTTATCTTGTGGACAATCTAGAGATCACAATTTTTATCCGATTTAGATGAAACTTGAAATGTATGTTTATAACCCAAAGATCTCGGTTCCTGTCAATATTGGACTGTCACTTCCTTGATTATGGCCCCTTATTGTACAAAAAATCACATTATTTTTTTAGCTCGTTCTCTGTCCATCTCTTGCATGGCAACTGCTTGTTTTTAATTGTTGATGCTGTTTAATATAGCTTGTTAATGTTTTTGTTTGTTGACAGCAATTTGCATTCCAATTTTTCAGAATATAATTATAACACTATCATATCATTGTGCTTACTTTACAGTTAAAATGTGGTATATTTTAAGAAAGCCAAAATAAAGTTATTATTTGTAAATAAAACATAGAGCTACTTGTAAATAGAACACTGCTATTTGTAAATAAAACATAGAGCTATTTGTAAATAAAACAGAGCTATTTGTAAATAAAACAGAGCTATTTGTAAATAGATTGCATATAAAATGAAGATGAAAAGTTTAATAATGGAGATGCTATGTGTATTGTATATATTTTATATTTTATATTTATTACAAAAGGTAATTAAAATATATTCGCCAACAATCAAATTTGTCTTCTGTGTTCTGTCCTATAAAATATTTTACTTGTAGTAGGGGTGGAGATGGGACTATGGACTAAAATCAGATTGTAGTTCACAAGCTTTTTTGGAAAAGGGGGTTTAACTCAGGAAAACAAAGGCATGGAACGCTATATGATCTCAATTCTTCATGCTAAATTTGAAAAAAAGATCTATTGCATTATGGTCCTTGATCACTTTGAAAATTCTTGTGAATGATGTTTGTGCAGTATGGTAAGACATTAAACCCCATTCAATTTCTTTTCTCTTTATTACAACTGCCGTTCTATTACAGTATGGGGGATCACGGTGGCTAAGTGGGTAAGATGCTGGCTCGCTAGCCTGGAGGTCGGGTGTTCGATCCCTGCATTGGCCGAGAAAGTTCATCCAGATTTTCCGGCGTGGTTCTCCCTTGTCAGTGATGCAGGACGGAGGGGCTGACAAGGAAAGCTGTCTAGTCGTTCGGATGGGACGAAAAACCGAGGTCCCGTGTACACATTGGCGTGCACGTAAAAGATCCCTTGGCAGTTGGAATTCGATATAAGAGTAGGCCGTAGTGCCGCTGTCCGGGCAAAATTTCCCTCATAGCACACTGTATGGCGTATGCCCGTCTTCATTAGCCCAGTTCGGAGCAAAACAGTAGGACGTTAAACCCCATTTCATTTCATTTTCATTTCTATTACAGTATTATTAGTTTTGGCCATCTATTTTAGTGAGAAAACTAAATATTTATAGATGCTTTCTTTCAGTTTAAAAGTTATTTGAAATAAACGTTTACAGCTATACTAGTAGAAGTACTGTTTGGAGGATGCTGTTCAATACGATTCAGTTTATTGAATAAATATCGTTATCAATAATTGCTGACAATTGACATAAAGGGAGATAACTATTTGAAGTGTGAATGGATTTCTAAAATTCCTTGTGGACCCATGTTATATTTTGGATATTCTTGATCAAATCAAAATTTAACCAATACACCTTTCTTGGCCAAGGATGAAGGCATTATATATTTTTGTCAATAATAATTTTTATTTCATGTAATTTTAGTATAACCATAAGATTTATTTGAAGATTTTCATCTGGGCTTAAATCGAGTTTGTGCAAACATTGTGCTTGCTAGGAACTATGTGAATGCGTTTTTCGTGTTTTTTAAGGTTTCCAAAAATGTATAGTTTGTTCAGCCGCGAGATGCAGAATACGAAATAGGGTTTCTAAGCACGCAAGATGCAGTCTTCTTTTAAAGCGGAAATTGCAAATTTTTAAGTTATATTTTTAAAATTTATTAAAATAAAGCCTGAAAATAGATGGTATCCATAAACAGTCCTACCTTGTTAAAGAATAATCCTATTAATCCTATAATTCACTATTGCCAGCTGAGAAATTGGCAAAAATATCATTTTCCTCTTCATTTTCAAACGTTTGGATATCGCTACTCCATGGTGGAGAATAGAAAACAAGGGAGGTAATTGTGTTATTATGTCCTGTGTAAATGAATCTTAAGTGTGAGAATGACACCTATGATCGTATAATTGTGAGTTGACAACCTATTGAGCAAAAGACATAGAAATAATTACGTTTTGACTTTCTTAGAAAATTTGCAATTTTCGCTTTAAGGCTAGAATAGCATAAAATCGTATAACGCGTTTTATACGTGTACTGTAGTAAATAGATGGGATTTAACCAGGGCCGTAACTAGCTCAGAGCAACGAGGGGGGCGGAAGTGTTCTCAGGGGTGCTGTAAAATTGACGGACAATGTATATCAATTTTTTTTAATGGTCGACAATTCAAGGACTAATATATGAATGAGGAGGACCCAGATTAGACCAACGAGGTTAGGTAGAATAAACCTCGCCACTTAACTCACCTTTGTTCTTTGTGTCCCCAGATGTCAAAAGGTCACATTTTCCGTTTTAGCGCTAGTATTTTTGAAACAGGTTTCAAAGTGTGTTGGTTCTGTTATGCAAGATCATTTTCGAAGTTCCAAAGTAAAAGTTCGGTGCTAAGACCGCCTAAAGATAAATTTTAAATGTTCCTATTATTAATTAGAACAGGTTTCGCTTTAGTATTTATATTTTACGCTGACATTTATTACTTTAAATCTTCCTAGTGCTAAAACGGAAAATGTGACCTTTTGACCTCTGGGGTCACAAAGAACAAAGGTGAATTTAGCAAGTTTACATTTTTATTGAAAGTGTAATTACTTTCGATTATTTTCAGCTTATTTTCATAATACAAGAATGACTGCTCATTCACTTTCAGTGCAAATGAACTCATTTGACCGTTGACCACGAATATATCGAAAACGCCCCAACGGCGGCCTGATTACCACTCGGCATCGTATTCTACGCAAAATTTTACTCTAGAAAAGTTGGGTCTGGTTTTGTGCCCATTTGATGCCCCCCCCCCCCCGCGCTGAGCCTCCGGTCTATTGATTGGGCAAATCACATGAAGCTAAAACAAGCTCATCTGATAAAGTTAAAGTAGCTAATTAAAGTTTCTTAACCCAATATCATCCAAAATCTTCGACATTGAAAACACGAATTATTTGTCAATTTAAATCAACATTGATGTTGTGATCTTACGGGAAAAGATGGGCCTCTGATATCCAATATTTAAGACAAAATAAACATTTTACCGTTGGTACACGAATCGTGTACCATGGTGCATTTCAGCGCCATTTAAAAGGGACTCGTAGAAAGAGGCTAGATATATTCCACAAGTCATGTCAAACAGTCACGTCATACTCTTATCTGTTGTTGTTGTTCTTAGCGTTTAACGTCCGCTTCCACCGAAGGTGATATCGCAGACAAGTTCATTTTAATCATCTTAGCGCACGCGCAGGGGTCTTTGCTGTGGGAGGAAACCGGAGTACCCGGATTAAACCCACGAGGTTGAGAAGGCGCCCCTCTCCAAGCCACATACGCTCACACCTGGGATCGAAACCACAGCCGCAAGCCAGAGTGACCGGCCAACTAGAGGTCGAAGCGTGACACTCTAGACCACTAGGCCATCCCAACCCCCCCTTATCTTATCTGAAAAGCATGCGCAATAAATACTATCGGTATAGAGTGGAATAACCAGACGCTAGAGATTACCATTGGATTGAGACTTCTGGCGTATTTCGCCGAATATAACTGATTAGAAATTGCAGTAAAAACAGAAACGATAGAATGTAACTCAGTTTATATACATTCACATTACATTAGTATATACGTTGCAACCCATTTGTGTCAATTTCTAAATCCAAAATAGTAGCGATTTAGCTTCTTAAAAGTCTTCAATCATTACACTTGAATTTCCGTCTACTTGAAAGGCATGACATCGGCGTGAGTTAAATTTCAATGGTGACTTTTTGTCCTCTGCAAATTAAATTCTAAAACAATTTTATTTTCATTATTAAGAAAAAAATTAATATGTCTGAACATCACTGGCTAAAAAAAAATATTTCCTATTTAGTTCAGGGGGTTGGATGGCCGAATGGTTAGCACGTACTGCGCGCTCACTCGGCAAACCACAGCAGATTCATTTACTCTATTACATCTAGCCGCGGCTGTATGACGGTATGTGATATGTACCTAACGCTTCTACAATTGCGATGCGGCACCGGTTTACTTATTACACAAACTTGCCGCTTTAGAAGGAAGCTATCGAAATTGCGTCCTTCGAAGCGTGTGTAGAATTTTTAGTGCAAAGTTGTCCTTGTTTGAAGAAAATCGGTGAAACCTGAAAGAAAAACAGCTTCAGACTTTGAAATATTTGTATGATTAAACCATGGACCATATAATATTATAAGGTCCATGGATTAACGTTCTTCAAAGGCGTCGTCATGGGCAAAGCCGTTGGTAATCCGGGAACTTGAAAGTAGTTCCATGGCGGACTTCGTCATACAGCCGCGGCTAGATGTAGGGTACTGGAATCTGCTGGGGTTTGCCGAGTGGTGCGCGCTTTATGGCATGGTTTCGAATCCCGGTTATACGTGACAAGGAGTAGGGTCGCCTGTCCAACCCCGTGGGGTTTCTCTGGGTCCTTCGGACCCCTCCTACTGCTAAAGACCCCTACGCACAAGCGAATTATTGTAACAAAATTAAACAATATGTTAGTCCCGAAACGACCTAGTTTGTGTCGAGTGGACGTTAAACTCTCTCTGTCACTCTCTCTCTCTCTCTCCGCCCCCTGATTGCCCGCATCGTTAAATCCACTGACTCCGCCCCCTCATTAACAAATTCGGAGTTTAATTTGCCTATTAATCGATGAATTGTTCAATATAAAGTGATGTTACCTGTGTAATTATATAGCTGTAGTTGATGCCAAGGATAAGATGGTTATCTCTAGATTCATCAATATCTATAACATTTTTACAATGTTCAACTTATCCCTCATAAGGTAAGGATTTTATTTTTTATTAATTCTGCCGAATATTAATTACTAATACCATTAGATCCAAACGTGGTGGTGGTGGGGGGAATTATTAAAGTAGCCAAGTCACTAATTCATTAGGCCCTATCATCCAAAATCTTCGACATTGAAAACAAGGATTATTTGTCAATTTAAATCAACGTTGATGTTGTGATCTTACCGGGACAAAATGGGCCCTCTGATATCCAATATTTAAGACAAAATAAACATTTTACATTTGGTACACGAATCGTGTACCATAATGCGTTTCAGCGCGATTTGTAACACGGGACTCGAAGAACGAAACTAGACTTACTCCACAAGTCATGTCAAACGGCGACGCCATATTCTTATCTGGAGAGTATGCGCAATAATTATTATTTTTGTAGACTGGAATAACCAGACACTAGAGATTTCCATTTGTAGCACTTTTGGTCCTTGAGACAATTTGGGGATCTTTGCAAAATTGTTACTTCACTCTGTCTATAGAGTCAAGTCTCACGTACTTAATGAACGTGAATATATAGTTATACATAAAAAACAGTCATATTTTGGTTAAATCATAATCATTGTCAATATGTCCATAAAATTCTGGC